TTGGCCAGCAACGGGGCTGACCCAGCTGCCACTCTCGAGAGGGTCGAGAACCCAGCAGCGACGATTATACTTGCCCGTGTACAGCTCACGGGTGTTCTCGCCGTGGATCTCAACCATGGCGTCAAGAACATACTGGACGTGCTCCTCCTCCGAGACGGAAGCCCAGCGGTGGCCCCAGTCGCCCGAGATGTACGAGGCCAACATGGTGGCCTTTCCGGTGCCGTTGATGTTATACGACGGGTAGCAAGTGGAACCGATACCAGCAATGTCAGAGGTGGTGCTGCAACCGCCGACGATGGGGTTTTCGTAATGCTCCCAGAAGCGCTCTGAGAACTCGAGGGCGACCTTGCAGGCGCTGGTGTAAGGGAGCTCCTTGATGGCGTTGGAGATGGTCAAAGGCAGGGACGGGAGGCGCCACTTGCGGATGATGGAAAAGGGGACAGCCAGCAGGGCGTAGTCGTACGCAGAGGTCTCAAAAGTCTGGTTCTTGAAGGACTCGCGCCATTGAAGGTTGACCTTGGAGTTCTCCGAGTCGAACTGCACACGCTCAATCTTGCGGTCCATGGTGGTGATGTCGTCAACGAGAGGGTGGAAAGCCAGCGGGAGACGGCTGAGACCGCCGTCGATGGTCTTGTAGGAAGCAGCCTGGAAGTACATGCCCTCGTAGAGAGTGTCCCAGAACGAGGTGGCGGTGTAGCTGCCCAGGGCATCCGTCGAGTTGAGGGAGCCCTTCAGGTAGTTCACCATGAAGGCATACTCGGACCAGACATCGCCACCAAGGCCCTGAAGACCAGAGTCGAGGAATTCGCGGTGGGCCTTGAACATGTTTTGAGCCATACGGACAGAGAAGTCGCTACCAGGAAGATACTCGTCCAGTTTCTCATTGAGGGTGTTGGTAGACTCATCGTAGACCGTGGCGACAGCCAGCGAAGAGTTGGCGGCGATCTGAGCCAAAGTAGGGGGCAGACCGTTGGGAAGCTTGATGCCGTTCTTATAAGAGAGACCGTTCTGGTTGCTCTGGATCCAGGGGATGAAGTCGACGCTGAGGTTCTTGTCGTGCTTGTTGAGCTCGTTCATCTCTGCAGCAAGCTGAAAGACGAGCTGGTGGTCAGTGATGTTGTAAGTGGTGTTGGTCTTGGGATCGACATAGTGCTCGGGGAAGCGCATGGGACCCATCTCCTGATAGGAGTAGTCGAAGGGACCACCACTGAGGTACTCGGTGTGAACACGGCCTCCCAGACGCTGGCCAGCCTCAATGATGCTGATGTTGGTCATGCCGGCTTGTGAGAGAACGAGGTAGCTCATCAGACCAGCCATACCAGCGCCGACGATGGCGACGTGCTTGGACTTGGCAGCGTCGACATCCACCGTGGTGGGCTCCTTGTCCTTGAGGAGGTTGACGCCCTCAAACCAGGCTCCGAGCGTGTCAATGCCGGTGCCGTTGTTCATCTCAATAGCTATGACGCGTTAAACTATGAGACAATACAACAACATCATGAGCGCACTTACATCTCTTCAGAGCCCGGCGCTTCCACTTGTGGTGCAGAGTCTGGGGCTCACTTCTGCCCTTCAACTCGCCGGAGATACTCCACGCGGAGATGCAACCATCGGTGGCAGCATCTTCAGGGAGAACCCAGACGAGGCGCTGAGAGTCGCGCACCTCTGACTTGACGATGGTGTGGTGGGCATCGCCCATGGAGGCACCTCGACATGAACCATAGGTGAATGTGACGGTCTCTTCGATGGGCTGCTCAAGAGTGATGTGAATGTTGGACACGCGGGAGGTGACTGCGCTCCGCGTCTCGAGCTTCATAGGAAGGCCAGAAGCCGCCGCAAGGGCGCTTCCGGCAACGAAAGATAGGAACCACCGAGCCATTGTAAATGGAGAAGGCCAGTCAGAGGGAATCCGGGGTAAGCTTGGCGTGAGGATGAGTCTCTGGAATCCCTTCTCTCCTTGTCCAAGATGCGCCCGCAGCTCTTTATAGTCAGGCGCAGGTGTCGATGATAGTAGGCCGGTGACGAGTAAGACGCCGGTCACTACCAGGGCTGTCGTCAAATCGATATCGATCTCGGTGTAGCCTCGAAAACGCGGCCTACGGCCACAGCACGAACCGCACCATCGGTGCCCGATCCATGAACATTACAATATTGGTCATCGGATGACGACCGGTTAGGACTTGGCGGTGTCGGACCGCTTACACTACAAGTGGCACTTCGAACTACGATAGATACAACCTCAAGGGTAGCTGGTACTGGAACAATGTTCGGCAAGTCAGGGCTCCATCGGAGACTTTCCCGCGCCTTTTGCTTTTCTTCCCTTCCTAAAGACATCAACCATACCAGAAGAAGCAGGTGAGAAACGTCAATCGCAGGGCACTTCCATGGCGCACCATGTGGTTGCCATGCAGACTGACGTCGCACAAGGGCGAATGTCGTCTGTCTGGAGGATCCGAGTCATTGGGTGTTGGACGTTATCAGTGGAGGCGGTGCGGTGCAGGCGGGAAGATAGGGACGAGAAGCTATAGCGGCCGAATTCCAAGTTGTTTGGCGGGGCAAACAAACCCATGCCGTCTACAACGGCCCCGTTCTCTTGGAGCCTTAGCCTCCGGAGGCCGCGGTGGGGGAAGGGGGGCGCGAAGGATTGTGTGGAGGTTCAAGGTTACCGAGACCGGGGACCTATCAACTTATTCGTCTACCGTGGCCATGTCGTTGGCGCCCTGATTCGTCTCTTCGCGCCCTTGGGATGAACATGGCAGATGGGGATCATGGGACAAGACGAGGATGTCAGGGATGTCAGGGATGTTGGTGTATGTAGACTTGCAGTTTGCCGGCTCCCTCCGGAAGAGTCATAGATTGAAGTCATCTACTCCGTACCCCAGAGCGATAGCTTCTGTTGTCCGAAGTACCTCATGCTGATGGTTGTGCAGTCTTACATCCGTAACATCGATCAGTATCTGTACATTCTGCCAAGATAGCGTAAGCTCGCCCGAGATCAAGTTGTGTAACTGGGCGGGATAATTTACGACCATGAGTAGTAGGAAACTGGGGGAGACTGCCTTGCGCCGCTTGACGCGTTCCTTCTCTCTGACATAAGCAAGTCGAATGAGACTGCGATATCTTAAACGATAGATAAGATATGTTCGTTGATAGATAGGCTCAATAGGGGACCACAGGTTTGTGGCATCTCGGATTCGTATGCCTGAGTTGACCGGCCCGGCTCCGGTGACGGGATGCTCTCAAGGTTGATTTACAATCATGGAGTACTCGGTAAATTGCTGGAGGTTGTGTGGATTTGAGTGGGAAAGTTTCTGTCTTTGCCAGTCGGAAACCTGGGAACCTCGAATCAATAATGGAACGTAACTTTGAGGGGAAGAGAGAAGAAAGGAGAGTAGAGACCCCTAAGGGAAGCTTGAAGCGAGTTGAGATAAGGACAAATACCGCACCAACGCAACTTTGGGGGAACTAAGGGTTGAGGTGGACAAGAGTGCCGAGCTCCCCACTAATTGGTTGAGATAGCCGATCCGAATCCCACGGGAAAAGATAAGAGATGCATTGGTTTTAGTCTCGGTATGTGGGCGGGAAGCAAGGTGGTTGGGTGGTGGTATTAAGAGAGAGAGAGAGAGAATCAGATAGTGGAAAGGGGAAGAAGAGAAGGAATCAACGACTTGTGATGAAAAGTCGCGATAGTTTGTAGTTGATAGAAGTTGAGCAGAACTCTCCTTGGCATACGAGAGTTTCGGGAGTCAACATGGCTCTTGAGTCTTGATGGGGGGAATAGAGTGTGACGGGCGCAAGGGTTCAAGTTGCAGAACACATCCTTTGGCGTAATGGCATCATTGACAGCCAATAAACGCCGCGGAATGACAGAGGATTCTGAGCGGAAATCTCCACAATCGCAGAGTGCCGAGACTTTTGGATATTGAACGCACCGCTTGGCTCGCTTCTGCGGCTCTGCAACTCTCTTTTCAACTGCCCAAACCCGTTAATCGCCCATCATTTTCCCTTTGAATCGGTCACGACCATCTACGGATACCCAGTAGAGATCTCGTCGCAAAAATCCGGGGTAAGGTGCGCCCGCAACTCTACGCCCGCACCATCGATCCGCAAAACAATCACACATCACAACGTAGCGTCAGGAACAAGCGGCTGGCGTCTCATCACATTGGGTAGAGAGAGAGAGAGAGCCTGGAGTAACACCAGAACTGGATTTCGTAGCCTACGAGAAGCACGCAATGGCAGAAGCCGCAGCATCAGAGACCCCGCCATGGTGGGCGGCCTTTCCCGCTCCCAAGGCCAAGTCACCGGAAGTTGAGGCAGACGAGGTGATGGGGTTACTTGAGGCTCAAGCTGCGACCAGCAACAGCACACCTCGAGCCTTCCTGCTCGTCGATGTGCGCCGGAACGACTTCGAAGGTGGCACCATCTCAACGTCCATCAACTTCCCGGCACAATCCCTATACCAGACAAGACCCATCATTCATCAGCTGTGCAAGCAGGCAGGTATTAAGCGTGTTATATTTTACTGCGGTGAGTTCCCGTCGTCTGCCTCTTGTGACTGTCTAAGACTCCCTTTTTTGGGCTTATCCCCCATGCTGAAGCCACCCAGGAAGCAGCAATGGCCGTGGCCCTCGGTCAGCGAACTGGCTGCAGGACTATTTCGACGAGGTTGGCGAAACTGCCGTGCAGGCCGTCATCCTCAAAGGCGGAATCAAGGGCTGGGTTCGTAAGTATGGCGGCCGCATGATGGACTGGTATGACGAGAAAGCCTGGGCCGGTCTCGACAAGTAGAAATGCCCCGCTTCGTCCCGGCCTATGATTGCAGGCTGCGCAGTCGTACTTCTGGGCCGTATGAATGTGACATCGTTGTGCTGGTATCTAGCATAGTTCATCCCCATCCTTGTCTCTGAAACCAAAAAATCATCTTTTGCCGTCATAACGCCAACTTGTAAAACCTGTACTGCCTTTTCGCGGAAGTCGACCACCGGATAAAGACACGCCTTTTACCGCTGGTGGTTGCGATCGTCACCGCCGATTCTCTCCAGAGCCTCCAGCATGACAACGGAGTTGCCGCGGATGACCTGTTGCTATATTAGTGTTCCATGTTCCAAATAAAAAGGTTGGAAAGGGGGTCTTTCGCAACATACCACCATGCCTATCCGAACCTTCTCGCCGCCCTCCTTCTCCTCAACAGCCTCGTCCAGCACAATGTTCAGGAAAACCTTTGACACAGGTTAGCAGGGGCCGCACCCAAGCAGATCGTCAGGAGACTGCGTACATCGTAACCGCGGAGAACACCGATGACCTTGCGGCTGCCGTTGAGCTGGACAAACAGTCTCTTGTCAAGGTACTACGAAAAGACGTGTTAGCTTTCCGAAATCTCAAATAGCAATGGACGGGACAATGAGGGATAGCCAAGCAGCTTGCATAGCTTCCGTTATCTGGCAATACATCGAACAAGTCTGGAGACTCCGGTATGTCCGTGAGAAATCGGGGCTTCCGTACCTTCTTCAGCTCGGGCTGTGCGGGCGCCATCTTGAGTAATTTGGTGGGTGGTGTAGAGTACCGAGGAGGAGTTCAATGGGTAGGTGCCGGTTTGATGATGTCGCGCGAGGTGAGCTTTGCGACGCGACGGAGCTCTGACAGCCTGACCGAGGGGATCTCTCTGCCACCAACCGTTATCTGGAAAATTGGGTGGAGTCACGTGGAGATAATCGTCTTATCGGCACCTTATCGCCAACACCTTTTCGAGAGGTCGCGAAGCTGCCTGACTGACATCACACCGAGCAAAAGTCACACTCGCAACCTCATAGTACACAAAATGAGTGCATTTACGCCAAAACGAAAAGCGAAAGTAATTAAGGTTCTTGATGACGACGAAGATGACGCGGGAAAAGCGTCGCCAACTGGTCAAGAGCCAGTAAAGGATGGTGAGTCTGCAGATCCCTTCCAGAGACCTTGCGCTGATATTTTTCGCAAGACTAACGAGTCTCCAGAGGGTGAACCGGTAGCAGTCAAATTCACAAGGAAGCCTTTTCGTCAGTCTGGTTTGCGCAAGAGCATCAACTTTAACGAGACCGACGACTCAAACGGCGGCGTCGCAATCGGCGCAACCACGAAACCCAAACCCAAAGTCGCTGCACAGGACGATGAGGATGAGGATGGACCCGTAGTTATTCGTCCGTCAGTGAGCCGTTCAAGCTCACTGAAGCAAAAGAAGCGCCAGTCCTCCTCAAGATTGTCATTTGGTGGTGCTGGAAGTGATGGCGACCAGGGAGCAAAGTCGGGATACACGACCCCCAAGAAGTCGACTCTGGGTCACCAGGCACTCGAAAACAGTGCGCTCAAGAACCGATTACCCATGCGATCATTCCGCGACGATGATGAAGACCGTCCAAAGTACAGCAAAGAATACCTCAGCGAACTACAAAACGAGACGCCAAACACGCCGCAGAACCTAACGTCCCTGCGCATAGAAGACGAAGACGGGATGGATCTAGACTCCTCTGAGCTAGAGGGCGCGTTGATAGTGAACCAGGATGAGTTTGCATCTCAGCCGGCCCAAACAAACATTCTCACAGAAGCCGAGATCCAGGAGAGGAAGCAGCGCAGGGCTCGGCTGGCGCAAGAGCAAGATGGCGACTTCATCTCCTTTGACGACACCGAGGACGGCGGTACCTCTCTGCGGAAGAAGAAAGCCGAAACTCGCCTCGTCGCCGAGGATGAAGATCTTGGCGAAGGCTTCGATGACTTTGTCGAGGATGGCGGCTTGTCGCTGGGTAAGAGGGCCGAAAGGGAGGAGAAGCAGCGCCGCAGGCGCGAGATGGCTGAGCAGATTAAGATGGCCGAAGGAGACTCGGGTGATGAGTCCGATGCGTCGGAGGCGGAACGACGTGCAGCTTTCGAGGCGGCACAGACAAGGTCGGGAATGGACGGCTTAGAGAAGCCCGAGCGCAATCCCACCGAACAGCTCCTGCAGGTTCCACCAAAAATTACGCCGCTGCCGAGTCTGACAGATTGTCTTTCAAGGCTACAGGCTACAATGCGCGCCATGGAGCTCGAGCTTGCGGAGAAGAAGAAGCGGGTGGATGAGCTGACACAGGAGAAGGACAGCATCATGGTCAGGAAGGACGAGGTGCAGCAGTTGCTCAACGAAGCTGGACAAAAGTACACTGCTGCTGTGGGCAACGGAGCTTCGGTCGAGTCGACTACGCAATCGCCAGCTAGACAGATTACGAATGCCGGACCGAGCGAGCTGAGGGTTGAAAGGGGCCTCGAGAGCCTGGGAACGACACCGAATAATCGTCCAGACGTAGGAGATGTCGACTAGTTACTGTACTCGGGACCGACAGTACCTCATATATCGCGATACCCCAGATTAGAAAAGAGGAATAATGTTATCATAGCTTCAATTCTTTTCGATTGTCTAAGAAATAACCTCTCCGCATAAAGAGAGAAATGTCCTGCCAATGCCAACGCCGCATGAGAATACACCTATGGTACAGACTACCACTTGCCGATTATAAGCACAATCACCCTGCCTTGATCGAGGTCAAGGCCCATTCACCTCTATTGTTCAATAGAGACCATCCAACAACGATCCTTATTTGGTCTTGGAGACGCCAGCGCCAATGACACCCGGAAGCTTCTCCTCGCCAACACTGAAGAGCAGACCAATAGCAAAGGTCAGGGTACCGACCATGGCAATACCGAAGCCGACGAACAGCCAAAAGGGAACGCTGACGTCAATCTTGCTGCAAGTCCTGCCGCCCCAGTGAGTGACGCTGCCAGTGGTCTCGTTCTTAGTTCCGAGGCACATGCAGGAGAAGCATTCCTTTCCGGCTGACTGGCCATCCGCTTTGGCGTACTTGTTCAAGCACTCACCGTGGCCCGAACAATTACCAGTGGCCTTGACACAGGCATCCTGCGAGCCAAAGCAAGAAGGAATAGTACCCCTCTCGGCATTTCCAACGAATGGCGCCGTGCTCTGGACTGGCGTAGTGGGTGCGGGCGGATCGTGGTCGTCAGTCTCGGTCATAGTCATGACTTCCTCGGCTTGGCGGCGACGGAGCTCCTCGGGCTTTGAGGACCAATGACGCAACTTGGAGTTGCGAGATGACTCGGGCATCGCGATGATGATGGTTTCCATCTCGCCATTGGCAGCAAGCTGCTTGAGAAGGGTGGCGTTCTCAGTGAGGGACACGAGGATTGACGAGTCCTAAGGAGAGAAAGTGTTAGTTTCTTTGTGAAGGATGCAAGGTCTGTTGGAGTATCCGATGCTCACCTTCTTGGTATCATATCTGACGATAGAGGACTTGCCACTCCAACATTGTTCGGCAAAGGGGTTGATGGCCTTATCGAAAGCACAGTTCTTTGCGGTGACGCCAACCGACGGCAAGTCGTTGGCCAGCAGCATATCATTGGCCGTGATGGAAGGAGCATCTCCAACTCTGAAGCTAGGTCCAGAGATAGCAAGAGACTTCTGGAGCGTCTTGGCATCGTCGGCAGTGATGCCCTCGAGCATGACGACGAGCTGCGACGGGTTTGTGGAGACGGCATTGCTGAAGAGGCCCTGAGGGGCCTTGCCGAACTCGTTCAAGTAGCTGACAGCGTTCTCGTTGGAGATAGACTCGGGAAGATCCCAGGATGCATGTTGACCCTCGGGTGACAGGCGTTGGAGGAGGATAAGGCGGGCAATCTGTCGTGGTAATGATGGAATATCGGAGCTCGAAGACTGCTTCGATTGCAGGAGATATACGTCAGCGGGTTGGTCCGAAGAGAGCGCGGTCGCGACGCCGGTCAGGGCAGCCGCAAGCCCTACGGAGAGCTTCATGGTGTCGTCTGATGTGGTTGGAGCTCGTAGATGGGGATTCGGTGATGATGTCGTGGAGGGGAGGAGGATGTGGATGCGACTGTTTGCTGCTTGCTGCTCTCTCACCAAGCTGCGGTGCGTCGAGGATGTCGAGCTCACAGTGCTGCGCCTGCATGCTATTGCTACTGCAACACGTTCCAGGCCAAGCCCATCCAACCCCCGTGTCCCAAAAACGGATATCGGCAGAGGTATTCTTCCGGCTGCTTCACCATGATCGGATTGCTTAGGTAATACATACTCCCACTGTGGACCTGGGGGGAAGGTCCCTCGAGGTGGACGGTGGACATTCCTACATGATCCGTGCTTGAAGTTCTTAGGCGTGCACTGTACGTACCTGCCGGGACAGTTGAGACTTCCCTTAGGTAAGCTACGGGCCCTTTGGAAGCTGCCGCATTCCTCGCCGCCAACAGTCCACGGTTCATGCACCACGGCAGAACAGAGTGGCGGGACGTTATCGGAGGGGCTTTCGTCACACTGTGTGCCGATAGCAACGCATTCACGCATCCAGAACCTCCCGTTGGTACAATGCGAAAGAGAATCAGTAGCCGCCTCTAATCTAACGTTGTCATACATCGTACATCAGAGCAGTCGCCTAAGCCGCCACAAGGGCGCTGCCAGACACCAGACCAGCTTCAACTCGTTGTATTGCGCCCCGATTCTTCTTTCAACAACCGCGACTTTACCGACTTCCATGGTTTGCCTCTCGTCGCCATCCATCCCGCTGCCGCCGCCGCCGTCGTTGCCATCCTCTATCCATCTCCACCAACCATCAAAAGAACCACGACGAAGCTGAAGCAAGCTGAAGCATCACGATCGACGCCATCGAACTCTTACCGAAAAATACTCGTCCTTTCTCCGTGTCCGGCAGCCGGCGCTCGGCGAGCGGCGAGCCCCCTCTACAGTGATGTGGCGGGTTTTCCGACCTCGCGCTGGCATATCGAATGCGAGCACCTTGGCTGTTCGCGCAGTCGCGCCACAAATTCCCAGCCAACAGACTGTCATCGTGCAGAGGGTGAAGCTTTCAAAGCCTAGATTTAGGGCCGGGTATGTCCACGTCACACAAATTATGTCAAGCCTGCTTCCACTAACTTTGCGCCTAGAACTTTCCTCATCGGAGCAGGCATTTCGCTCGCTTGTTGGCACATTTACTGGTCCACCGTTTTAAATCCATTCTTTCGACATGTAGATCGCGAATACGAGAAGCTGTCACCGGCGGAGAAGAAGGCGCTTGACGAAGAAATAGCTCAGGAGGATGCCGAGCCGTGGTTCATTCCGTTCCCCTTTACGACGAAATCTGTCAACCAGCCACCGTACAAGGGCAGCGACCCCGAGTGGCTAGAGTTCGTCAAACTCAGCAAACAAAAGGGGACGCAGACCCAAATTCGCGGTAAGTGCCTATCCTGAGAATTGGCTGCAAATGTTCTCCCGACTGATCGCTGTCACTAGCCGACCTTGCCAACTGGGTGAAGTCCTCGGTCGAGAGGCACCCGGTAATCACAGCTAGATGTGGCAACTCAGTAAGGCTTCGTAGATATTGGCTGGACATCGACTTTCCATACCGACCACCACCGGTGTTCTACTCTTCTGGGTACGCGAACTCAAACCATCCCATGACATGCGATCAGGTAGCCACTAACAATACGCTCTAGATTACTGCTGCAAGGCGATGGATTGTACTGGTCAACTCAGCCCGTTGACTCGTTGACCGTTAAACGCCTACAAAAGATACTTTGGCCGGATGCAATTGCCGTGTCTTCGTGGGCTTTTACGAGTGCGCTATTAAAACAACACTACATGGATATTTCCCGAGCCCTTGGTTTCGAGTCAAGCAAGCCTGTTCAAACGTTTCCATCAGTCAGCGGTGGCAACATGCAACAAAAGACTCAGGGACCTCTTCCGTCTGCCAACAGACAGACTCCTGATGGCACGCCGGCAGAGACTGCCTCTCACAATGTCAGCAAGACAGCAGATTCATCACAGGCAGACGAGCCAGAGAGCGGCGGCAAGACAAACTTTGTCAGGGACACTGCCATATCCCATATAGAGGGGATGAAGCAAATAACAGACGGCCCTGCAAGAGAATTCCGAAGGAAGCTTGCGCAGTCCTGGAAGCCCACACGACCATCTCCTCCGCGCGGCTGCATCCTCGTTTCAGGCTTCGTCGAATGCGAACTACCCAAGGGCTTCGTATTGATCGACGTCTGGGGATTCTGGAATCCCAAGACGGAGACGTTTGAGACGAAATCAACCTTTATGAATGTACGGAGGGTACAGATGAAGCAACAATCCCCTCGGCGGAGTTGATGGAATTCGCTAAGACACTCCCACCTTTTCTCATTGCATATTGGCGGCGTTAAGGTAGCGGTGAACATCTACCTTTGGGTTAATTTGGCATTGGTTGGCGATTTGATCTCACCGGCACCACCCCCTCATCGATCGGGGGCCTAGCGGAACACTCTTCTGGTTTGTGAACGAGCATTCAACAGGTTACAGCAAGAGAGTGAGCGTTTGTTCGATATCAAGATACCATAGACGAGCACAGAAACGGGACTGGAGCAAGACAGTAGAGAGGAGCAACGAGTTCTCTTCTGTCTCCTACAATGTCCTCTTTCTCTTCTTCAAATCATTTTCACTTGAAATCCTGCGGCGGTACTGTTTCTCTCGGTGACAAGATTATTTGATTCCAGTGTGACTTGGTCTCCTGCAAACCTCCTGGGAGACGAGTTGCCGGGTTCGAGAGAAAAAGATCAAGTTGGCGTGAGAAGTCTTGTTATTCGCCGAAGCTTTTGCATTCTATTGCAAGAGTACGGATTAAGCACAACACGGTTGAGAGCCACTGAACAGAGACCAAATAGGCGCAGCAGGCAAGCAGGAATGGCAGTCCGCGCCTAAAGTTTCTTTCTCCTAATTTTGCGAATGCAGCAGCGTCTGGGAGCACTGATGTAAGTACCTACCAAAGGAAATACCGAGATGTCTATTCCTCGGAAGGATCGCGGGCGTGAGGCGGCTCAAATGTGTGGCTGCGCTGCCCCGTTGAGGCCTCTGCGAAAATGAGGCCAAATGGCAAACTCCAGCATGGCACAACTACAACAATCCGCCGATTGACTCAGCCCGAATTACAGTTTGATAGAATAATCCTGAGCAAGAGGCGGCCTCAGTCCTTATGCGCATACATAACGACGCAGATTAGTTGACGTCTCCATCCTCCCGTTAAATCATCAGCCTTCTACCATCATCACCTCTTAAGAGACCATCAACAAACATCCACTACCATGGCTGCACATCTCCAGCGCCGACTGTTTCAGGACTTTGCCGAGTTACAGCGAAACCCATACCCTCGCGTTGCATTACATACCAGAGAAAACGATGTTCGCCGGGCATGCCTTGTTCTGCAGCCAGAGGGCTGGATGCCCATGCACACCACCGTCAACTTCGGAGACCGCTATCCTCTCGTCGCTCCCACCATCAAGATGAACACGCGAATGGTGCATCCCAACATTTTTGACACCTATATCTGCGCATCAATCCTCAACACGTTCGAGGGATACACACCGGCGTATACCCTCAAGGGCATTGCCATTCAAATGCTGAGCTTTTTCAGCAGCGATTCATTGGAGCAGGAGGGAGGATATTACACCGAGCCTCTTGAGTGGTATCGGCAAGAGAGCCTTAAATGCCGGCAGGACTTCAAATGTCCTCACTGCAACTTTGATGGAACCAAGAGCAAGGCAGACTTTAGAAGAGCTCGAAGGCACGCCCTGAAAGCCTTGTCGCCGACGCCATCATCATCATCATCCTCGTCAAGTGCTGCGACTACAGCGGCTGCCTCCAAGGACCACCAGGGATGTGTCTTGGCCGCTTTGCCTGACGAGCTTCTGCTAGAAACTCTCCACAGTCTCGACTTCGCGGACCTCCTCTCCTTTTCACGGGCTTGGCCGCGTATTGCAGACACACTTCGCGGATATGATGTTATCCGATTGAGAGAACTCCAATGCTTTGTGACCAAAACCAACTTCCGAGATACGAAGCTCGGTGTAGGCGTCATGGTCCCCAAACGCAAGCGGGCTATAGAATCAGAGTTTGACCTCATCTCTCTGCCGGCATTTCAGGACCTGGGAGTCCGCTTCTCCGTCCACAATGTCGCCTTCGAACACTGGCTTCCGCTGCCTCTGAGCCGCCGTCACTGGAGCTCCGTCAAAGACTATGTTACACCCGTGATGCATAGTCTAGCCGTGGCTATCTCGTTACCGAGCGCCAACAACTCTGCAGTGGGAGTTCTCGCCGCCTTCATGAACGACATTGTTGTGCGGCTCAATCAAGTATATGCACACACATCATCTAGTGGCGCAGCATACAGAGGCAACGATAATGTCAGGATTCCACAGATGAGTACATTGCGGCACGCGTCAGAGAAGGCGATCGAGTCTTACTTCCATCTATTTCACCTTCTGCTCTGCCTGGCGACGGCGGATCCCAAGCTGGTCACCGACGCCAATAACAAGATCAAGAGATTTATGGGTGGTAAGACCTCCAAGATATCTTGTCCGAATCTTGGTCACCTCCTGGTCTACCTCCTCATCAGCGACATTGATATGACGGAGGCTATGAGAAAAGCGATCATCACCGAAGCCATCACGCGCAATGTTGTCTGGATGCTCGACAGGAGAGGCTCCAATATGCCGGAGTTGAGCTATCTCGAGCCGGATTACGTCTCGGGGTATCGTTTGAAGAGAACCTTTGAGGCGAATCGCACCTCATACCGACTCCTCATGTTTTCGGAGCTCTTCCGCCGCATCGCCAGACCTTCCAACGGAAAAACCTTGGAGCAAATCCGGGACGAGCTCTTCGACCGTCATGGCGCACCCCCTACTGGTGCCGCTCTCCAGCTATCCACCGAAGTCCGCCGCCTTCATGACATCGACAATTTCCCCCATTTCTTCAACGAAATGGGAATTGTGCGCCATCCGTCAGCTGAAAATCTCACCAGCGTGCTACGGGACTGTGTCAAGGACAGCATGAAAAGAGGCTACTCGGTCTGGGGCTTGCCGGTCCCTACTGCTCTGGCCTTGCGATCCCGGATAGAGCCCAACGTTGGAGTTCGAGCAAACCTTGTGGTGAGAAACCCTCCTGGTCCTCGCTACATGTCAAGGATCACTTTCTTCCCTGACAAGGACCGCCGGAGCTGAACAGCCACCTTGCAAGAGGCTTAGAGCGGGAAAAAGAGATTTTGCTTGAGCCGAGCAGTCGAGTTATTGGAAATGATACCCCTAATGAAATTAGAAATTCGAATGAGAAACAATTAGTTAAATCTAGTATACCGTGAACCAAATCATGAATCCTCCAGACTATCGTCCAATCGCGAACCAAATTTTCGAAATGGTTACGATCTTTCAATTAACTGAGAGTCACAATGGGCAAGTAGCTGGTTCGACAGTTTGAACTGCAATATCTTCCCTTGCGAAGAGTGCTTAAAAAATCGAATAAATCTCCATTCGCTCAATATTGATCTTTTTTGCAAGCGTATCTTATTAAAAGATTACTCAATTTCTATTCTACTAGGGAATGTGTTCTTCTGTCTTGATTTTTTAGATACCGGTACATTAGCATGTCGAGTATCGTGAGGCATCGTCCTGCTCCCAAGGTCCGCACCAGCAAGGTGAAGGCAACTCGGTGAGCACGGGTGCCTTCGGTGAGCAAGAAACCTTGTTAGTCAGCAGATATCTTACGTAAGGCCGCTGCAGGGTCCCCCGGCCGCTCTCACTCAACGTCACTCCCTCCCCCCCAACTTTTACGTCCCCGCGTCCCTTCGTCCTCCCCCGAACTCGTCGTTCTTCGGGTCCAGCCCGTGTAAGTGGTTCTGCGAGGTTTTCGTCTTCACTTTGGCTCCCACTTTCATTCCCGTTCACGTTGATGGACAAGAACTACAGGCACGATACGTGCTTTTCATTTTGAATCTCACTTACACCTTCATGGCCTTGCCTTGCCTTACTGTGCCTGCTGAGATCCGGCGGCCTCCCTGTCGTTGTCTTGTAATACCGGGATTCTGTACATCTTGATTGACGATGGCTTCAACCACTTCAAACACAAATACCTCGGTTCAAGAAGACAAGAGTCAAATTCATTGAGAGTTCCCTTTTGATTGTATAAAAACATCACCGATTATGGGTTGCCTGTCAACCTGTCCATTCGATCTGGACGAACGCCTTGCCCCAACGCCATACATCAGGACATTAATTCAGAAACAGCCATACATGGATCAGCCATCTCGACCAATCTTAATCAAAAGACGACGATCACATCTGATTTCATCACGAAATGATCCAAGGATCCCTCCAGGGTGGCTCTCACCCTCTCCGCGTGCGACTGCGTCCCTCTACAGCCATCATGTAAGCCAAGGCATCATCCACTGCGTCAAAGTCAGCAATTGAGCTTCACGAAACAGTACATCACGATGTGTCATCGTGAGCTTGTGAAGAGAGCACTGACATTGAGACTCAACCCTCTCCCGACCGGCAATGTACCAGGCCTCGTTAATCCTGTCTCGCTCAGATTCATCGCCGAGGCAGGGGAAGAATTGGACATCTGTCGACAGCGGCGCCAGGTCTGGTGTGCGGAGCCTGGTAATGCGGGGGGCCCCAAGCGCTGACGATGAGTGGGCGGGGACTGTGAAGTCCTCGTGAATGTATTCTCCAGCATCATCGGGGAAGAGGATGAAGTCATCGTATGGCGCATACTTGGCTGAAAAGTCGCCGTCGTGGAAGCTGCTGCTGCTGCCTTTTTCACGTCCGGATCTTGCACATGGCTCTTCATTGTGGGTGCTTTGGCTAGTCCATGATCCCATTGCAACAAGGCTGTCATGATCCGGGCTGCGTCTCCGTCTCTGCGAGACGGGTCCAGGGCTTCGTCGGTATGACGAAGGCTGGTGCCTTGGGCGCGGAGACGGCGGTATGCTGTACAGCTGCTCATCACTTAGAGGATTGGACACGACGCTGCCTCTGTAGTCGGCAGGGCGATACGCCCGCATCGACGTCTGTGTCGGTGACGCTGGAGAACGTCGATCACGTGGCCCGGCAAGGGCATCTCTGTGTCTGTAACCGTGAGGGGAAGCGCTTTCCTGCAATGGCACCATTACTGAGCACATCTGACGTCCTGGTGTCATTGGAGACCTGGATCGTGGCACAGTGGTGAAGTCTGGGTTAGTATCAAAGTCGAGAGGCAAGAAAGCCATGGTGCTATCTTAACGAGGCCTCGTAGAGCAGGACTGGAGATACTTTTGATGGAACTGGCGATGAATGAGGAAGCTTTTGGGTGATGGAGTGTGTCAGTTGATGAGGAAATGTGATGGAGGATGACGGCCTGTAATATCTCCTTCGGGGCGGTGCAGAGGAAGTGTGTGCCAAGGCAAGTATGAGAGGTCTGAGATGGGATCTGCCAAGATATAGGAACCTGTCTAGGATGGAAAGCGAAAGTCAAAGGGGAATTTGGGCCATTGGTGATAACACGGAAGAAAGAAGAGGGGAGGAGGATGGGATGCGAGATGGAGGGTGGTGGGAAGCTCGAGGGCTTTATATGGTGAGTGCTCCCCCGGGCTGCTCTCTCTCCTCCAAGTGGCCAATCAGGGGACAGTATTCCACTTCCCCCGTTGCGTGCCACCGACCCCGACACGGAGCCCGGGCCCGCACTAGACCGATCCCCTTCCTTCTAACATCCAAGCTGGATGCCTTCTCCCATATTCCTCGTCGTTGATCTCATTGAGATGTGCAATGGCTCACAAAGTCTCATGAAGCCGGCATGAGGTTGCTGGATATCGTTGAGCCCTCTGGACGATGGTAGGCAATGCTGGACGCATGTCTCGATTTCCTTCTTCATTCTTTGCCTTTCCAGAGTCTCTCGTTGTCTCACTCCGTCTTACAGTCGAAGTCGATGTTTCTGCCCATCGTCCGGAGCCTTTGAATCGTAAGATCCAGTCGCCTTCTCTTTTCTGCCTTTCTTCTCTTGGTTGTTGACCCAGCTTCCTTGGCTTCTGATAGCGATGGCCTTTATATCGATGTCCCATTTTGAGCGCATCCCCACTTGCAAGCTTGTGGCTCAGATATCCAGACGTTTCTTTTAGCAGGCGCAAGAGTGTAATGCCCGCCCGTGTATATCACGAGAGGCCTGTTTCTTGCGAGAGGTCAAGCCTGGCTGGACTGACCGTGGCACACCAGTCATGTGACCCTACGCTGACCTAATGCGCACCCCCCTAGCAGCTCGAGAATGTCAATGGTCGTGGGAAGCATACACGAGGCTGCCGTCACCAAAAGGATGCCGGAGGAACCGTCGCTTCGATTTCCCAGTCGAAGTCTGGTTGCCGGGCCCCTTCCCACCGCCACCACCAAACATCGACCCGGGTGAAGAAGTTGATGGTGTTGAGCCGAGCAGAGTCCCAGAAGAACAAGCCAAAGAGACGACAGTTCGTCATCCGAGGATCATTGCAGGTTAACCCTGGAAAAGATTGATATGCCCAATACCAGGCTTCTTCTGGGCCCTTATCGGTGTCCTCGCTTATCAGTGACTGTCGGACATGCTCTTTGTACTCGTCCGGAGTATAGGATGACAGAGCTTTCCTGATCGGGAGTTCCAAGTTGCTCATTTCGACGCATCTGTCAACAGCATCCGTGAACCATGAGTAAATCTCGCCAACCCGGTTGTAACTGGCGTACCGTGGCTGTTGCGGGAGGGCGAGAAGTAGCTGGTAGAACTGAGTTGGCGGTGATGTTGACACCCTGTAGAGAAACTTGATCCCAAAGCATAGCAGTCGAGCCTGGTTCTGGTTGATGTGGCAATCACCGCGCTCCAAATTGGGAGGTAAGATTGGAGCGGTCCAGTACACAACTTGAGCGCCATTTCTAGGGCCGCAATGGTGTGTCTGCAGAGCCTCGATCTTACGAAGCTCCACGAGCGCACGCAATGCTATGGAGAATTGTCAATATTCAACATGATGTAGGTTCGAGAGATGACGGATAACTTACGAGGACCAATGACAACCGCTGCAAGAAAATCCCTTGTCGCAACCAATTGCTCAATCTCCCAAAGTGACAGGTAATCAAAAAAGTGCGCTCTCTGGAAGTTTACGATATCCAGGTTGAATCGTACAACTTCGGGATCTTTGAAAAGCTTGCAGTAGACCTCGAATCGATAGAGGGCTCTGTGAAAACGAGCAGACTCGGCATCGGTTGGCTTCTCAGCGGAAGAAGGTGCGTCAGGCCAGTCAGGACGGTCGTTGGCGAGACTACACTGCTCTTTCATGAGACGATGCAGTGCCATGTCCCGGAACTTGGACCCCAGATGGCCGACGCACTGGTGTAATTCTGCTAATCGGAAGCCATCTGATAAGCTGATGGTGGGAGGAACACGCGGCCGTCTCTTGAGGTATTCGTCACTAAAGGCGGTAACGAGATTCAAGTCTTTCGGGTCAAATTTGGAGGACTCCAGCGCCATGACGGCATAAGGAAGTGAAAGGTGGCCTATTTCGTTCAGGACCACCTGCCGACATGCTGACGAGGCGCATCGGAGCCAAGTTGGAGAAGTGAGGGCTGCATCTCTAAGGCATTTGAAGGTTGACAGATGTGATAGGATATACACCCAGAGCTCATCTGGCATGCGCCGCGACATCGTATCGTGGATTATTTGGCAAATTTATCGTGATCTTGTTAAGAAACCGCATCGAATCCTCTATGTTTTCCTCAAGTGGTAGGAATTCCGGAAGTGGGCAGTTCGAGGTTTGACACAGGAATACGGTGTTCTCAGTTGGTGGTATTTCAATCCAAACTCAAATCAGGCTCAAGGCAGAGACCGTATGACCTGGAATTACTGGTGCTCAGGGTCTCATATGCCGTACTGAAAAGTCTCTTGGGTGGATGTGCGTGGTGAGTTCATGGCTTGTCGTTGTGAGATGGCTGAGCTGATTGATGCGAGGATCGTCGATTCGGCCGCCGTTTGGGACAAGCCGGGGCCGAGAGGTACGTACTGTGTGGTTTTACAGTGTTTATACTTCTATCGGGTCATCCAGACTGGGTGGGGTCTTTGAGTGATAGAACCAATGAGAGATCATGGGAGACACTAGTCTACATCCGGGTTAGCGCCCAATTGCTCTCAACTCGGTGCAGGTGCAGTGAATTGCTGGTCGAGCACAGCTCGCGTCAATCCCTTCGCCAGACTGCCACGGTACCTCTCTGTGAACGTCACACTTCTTCGCCGCATTCCACCTCGCTCTATCCTCACCAGACAACTACGGAATCGCGATTACGCCAGCATTCATCGCCTCCGAATAAATCTGAAGTAACAACCGTCGCGATGGGCAAGAAGAAGCGCGGACACCCCGACGTCGAGGACGTCCTCTCCCGGCCTTGGTGCTATTACTGTATGAATTCATTGCCTTTCGCGTCTCGGATTTGAGCGCGTGTGCTGACTTGTTTGCAGGCGAGCGCGATTTTGAAGATCTAAAGCTTCTCATCTCCCATCAGAAAGCCAAGCACTTCAAGTGCGACAGATGCGGTCGCCGACTCAATACCGCTGGAGGTTAGTCCACCACGCACGCTGTCCTCTGTGGCATCGTAAGCTAATGTCTCGTGTCGCGCAGGTCTCTCCGTCCATCTGAACCAAGTTCACAAGGAAACTCTCACCCAAGTCGAGAATGCGCTACCGAATCGACAAGGCCTCGATGTGGAGATCTTCGGCATGGAGGGTATTCCCCAGGATATTCTGGACCAGCACAGGAACCGCATCATCCAGAACTTCTACCAGGCCCAAGAGGACCGCAGGATCGCCACCGGCAACCCCTTACCTGGCCAGTCGAAACAGCCGAGGAAGAAACTCAAGGTTGAGACTCCCGAAGAGTTGAAGGCCCGCCTTGCCGAGCATCGCGCACGACTGGCCGCCGGGCATCCTCCCGCTACTAGTGGCAGCCCTGCCAATGGCGCCCCTGCGAGCGCCAGCCCGGGTGCATTTGTAAGTATCCATACACCGAAAATGTTATACATGTGTGGCTTTGGGCTAATCATCCGTCACAGAACAACTCTCCGTACCCGCCGCCTCAAGCGCCTTACGGTGCGGCTCCCGATCCGAACTACCCGCCTGGTGCTGCCCCTGGCGCTCCGGCCTACCCTCAACAGGGCTATCCGCAAGGCAACTTTGGCGGTTTCTCTGCATCATCTCTTCCCGCGAGACCGACGAGTGGCCTTCAAGCGATGCCCGGTCTACCTCAACGACCGCCCCAACATGGCGGCCAGTTCTGGAATGGCTCTGGCGCACCGCCGCCTGGCTTCCCAGGAGCATCCACTGTCGATGAGCTGGTTTCTGGAGCGGCACAACACGGAGACGAAATCGACGAGCTCATTCGCAGAGCCGAGTCCGGTATCAAGCCAGCCAAGAAGCCCGAAGATGAAGCCGGTGATGAGGCCGCAGGCGACAAGAAGTCGAAGAAGGATAAGAACGGCAGAATGTTCTATGCAGACACAGAGGTCAGCCCTGAGGAGCGCATGGCGCAAATACCGAGATACGCCTACGTGCCCCCAGCATCGTAGTCAAGAAATGACTGGCATTGAACTATTTGGATGGCGGCGCATGGGGACGTTGCGACACGGATGCATCCCAATCATGGCAAGTGTCACTGCGAGAGGCTTTCATCGATTGACACGATTTTCGAGACTCGGGACGACAACGGCAACCCTCCTGAGCGGAGTTTCAATGGCGTAGCTGGTTTTGGGATGTACATAAAAATTGTAAGGAATGCACTGAGAATTTCCGTCACTGTACTCATCGCAGGCCGTGACGCTGAACAAATTGACAGGTCCTGCATTTCAACGATCGTCGTTTCATGGTGACCCGAATTGCTGTCTCTGGAGCTGCGGATGAAGAAGCTGGGATAACCTCTGATATGTGAACCGGCATCTGTATTGGTCCTAAGTCATGCATGAGAATGCAGGAGATGAGGGGCCGCGACGTGATAGGTGGTCACGCGTCCGTATCTGGACTTAGTTGCCAGCCTTGCTTACCTTGCTTGACGAGATCGCACAAACGACGCATGATCCATCCTTCTCAAAACGTTCAACATACTTACTAGCATTGTGGCATTCCTCTCGTACTACTCTGGACTTTTGGTGCACAGCCTTGGCCATGTGGCTGATCGACACACAGAAAACAACACTGCATCGCGTTGCGGATCATCGACAGAATGGCACACGCTCG